CGGCTACAAGAATTGGATGGCAACACGGCAAACGGCTCACTGTGTGAAGAGTCTAGTCAGCCTGCACCCTGCGTGCATGGTGGTGCTTCTTAAGACAGGAGCATCAGAAAAGCTAAGCAAAGCTGCATGTGAATAGGTTGGAAATGGAAGAAAGCCCCCCATTAAGACATGTTTTTAACCTATTGTTACTACTAAGGTTGCAGCACTTGAAACATGATGTTACCCTTCAAAAGCAGCATCTCTTTAAAATGGAAAGTCTTATTAGTGGCAAAGAGGGGATGGGAGTATCTCCTTTAGAGGCAACATAAAAACAGCTGTTCAGCCTTTCCATAGAATGCTCTGCCTTTGAAGAGGGCATGCAAAGGATTTAATATTCTTTCTAGCTCCACTTTCTAGCACTGAACATGCTATTGATCCAGCGAGACACTCCCAGTGATTTCAGCTGGGATGGCTAATAAGAAAGGGAAGGTGGGGGTGGGAAAAGCATCAGAATTTATCTAGTGGCTTTACTAGTCAGGTGAAAGAGGCAAATTTTGCATTATTGCTTCATGGCCTGGTCCTGCTGCCTCTTGAAGCAAGATGCTCACACTTGCTCATGGCCTGATACATGCCACATGGAAGGGTTCTGAGGGCTCTCTGCCATGCGGGTAATGTGCAGCAGCTCTGAATACACCGGCGTCAACCCAGTTCCAAGAATTCCTGCATGACGCAGACCATCCTTTCTGAGTCTATTTTATTCCCATGTGTGTTTGGGAATGGAACATACTCAGGAACCCTGGGAGAGAACTTCCACCAGCCTCCTCACTGCTCTGCTGGACTTCTCAGCTGCTTTTGAAACCTTTGGCTCTTGCTTGACTGCCCCAAAGGATCTTGCAGCCCATGGCTCTGAAAGCTGCAAAGAAGTCCTGCAGGATGATGCCCCCCGTCCACTTTTCTTGACAGATGAGACTGTGAAGTGCAGTGCAAGGCTGGCTGAAATTGTACCTGGAAGGCAGCTAACAGAAGGTGCTGCTGGGCCAGGAACATTTTCCTGCTGATTCAGCTCAGGATTCCATGTTATCTCTAACGCTACTTTAAATCTACATGAAACCTGGGGTGGGGGTGAAGGTGGGGAGGAGGGATTGAGGAATGAAGATGCTTAGCTCTGCTTTCCATCAGTGTCTAGCCAGGCAAGAGAAGTTCTGTACCTGTGTCTGCAGTCCCTGTTGGCTAACACACTGACACTTACTCCGTTCGCGAGAGAGAGGTCTGGGGTCAGCAGGAAAGCTGGATGGGTGTGCATCCTGCTCTGGAGGAGACTGATCTCCTCCTTCAGTCTGCAGCCTGAAGACCACCAGGTCACAGTTCTGGCTGGTTAGGAGGCTGCCTAGCAGGGACAATCAGTGCATGTTTCCAAACAGCCACGCAGAGGGATGGTCCCATCAAGCCAAGGTGGGAAGAACCACAGCAGCATGGCTGGGCATAACGGCTCCATCGGTTGGGTACCCAAATCTGGCAACACTGGCTTGACCAGAACTTGGAATAGCCAGTGACCCGAAGGTTATGGGATATGCATTTGCCGGATCAAAGTGGTTTCACAGTGCGTGCGCCCAAATCAATATCCAGGTAGAGATGAAAATGTGTTCAGTGCTGTGGAAAGATCCGAGCCTTTACCAGCTGCCACTCATGCTGTGCTGTGTTAAGCACCCCTTGCCCTCTGTTTATATCGAAGATGAGTCAAGCCAAAGGTTCTCTTGACCCCATAGCCGTAGCCAGAGCAGGCCACCTGGGAGTTGCCTCATCTCTGCTTTTGTTTTTCCTCATGCCAGATATATTGCCCCTTTTGTTCTTTTGAAATGTTTGGTCAAAAGATGAGAAACCCCAGGATTCCAACCCCTCCATCAACAGCATCTTCATAGGTTTGGATCAGTCCCATCTGGGCACGCACTACTGTGGACATGCTGGTCCCCTTGCTCCTGCACAGAGGGAGTACCGATGGCTTGCTTGGAGTAGTACTCAAGCTGGAGTACAAAGGCACAAGATGCCAAAGTTCACCGCTTCTTCACTGCTTTTTGCTCAGTCTTCTCCGGGTCCATCCACTGAGGGTCTCACCTCACCACAGGCTGAAACCTGCTGGAACCATGTTTGAAAATGACATCCTTCCCTGACCAGTTAGTGGGATGAATCTTGCTCAGGACTCTTGCATTTTTGAGCAAGCTTGCCAGGGCAAGGCCAGGCTTGGGCCATGGGACTCTGGCCCCAGAGCCACTTCCCAGAGCCCCGAGTGTCCACTGGTACCAACGCAGGTTTTGCCTTCCTCGCCATAATTGGCAGGGCCAAGGAATGATTTTCAAGGCGAGGGGTTGCAGCTGAGGGAGGAGGATTAACTTGCCCCTCTCTACAACAGCAAAAAATCTCTCTTTGCATCACAACTGAGCTTAAGAAAAGGTGTGGCAAGAAAACATTCCCAGTGGTATGGGATGCTCTTGGCAAGATGCAAATTAATCGAACAATTTATTTTGTGTAAGAATATTTAGATTCTTACAGAGTTGGGCGTAGTGCCATTTGTTCTGCGTGGGTGTTCATTTAAAGAGTGTTCGGAAACTGCAGAAGCTGCAGAATGCAATGCCCAGGCTAAGTGGTGCCTATACTATGGCACCTGCCACTCCACTGCTATTCAAGAGGCACTGGCATGGGTCTGGGACTGAGATATCTACCTAAAGGCCCACTTTCCCCCATGCACCCCTGATGCCTTCTGCAGACATCAACTGAGCTGTGGGAGTGCGACCGAAGGAGGGCTTTTCACTACACCTGTTGAGATCCTCCAAATGGAGTTCATATGCTCCCCTTTCTACATTGTACTTACATTTTAAATACATTTTTACATTGTAAATGCATTGGAAATACATTGTTACATTGCATTTCAGGCTTGCAAGCTCCTGAGAATCAAGGAGAAAGAGGTTTGTTGAAGGGATGCAGGACCCAGTGGTCCTTCGAATTTGCCACTTCTATTCACATCAGCTTTTCATGGTTTATCCAAAAATGGGAACATGTGTGGAATCTATTATGTGCTGGGTTCCTTCAGACAGGACAGCCCAATTTTTGTGAACCGCCCAGAGAATTCTGGTGGTTGGGTTGCGTAGAAATTAAATACATAAATAACTTTCTTTGAGTCCCAGCATGTTTTGTCTGGGAGTAGAATGGTTCTCTGAATTAACAATGTTCTTATGCCATGTATTAAAATCAGATATCACACAGAGCTTGTAACTATCAGGAGAATAGCTGAATATCCAGAGACTATCTGGTCAGCATCTTACATCAGGACTCATGGGATAACCTGAAGGATAATGTTTAAGAAAAAATGAGATTTTGCTTTCCATGTCACTAGACCAGAGGAAGATAACGCATGCAAGCCCAGGGCCTCTGTGGCCACTGTTCTCCTAAAGCAGTTCCTCTGCTTTGCACAGTTGCAAGGTAGGCAAGAATCCAACAGGTACCGGCTTTCTTACATGGATGTAGTGGGAAAAGCGAGATCATTTGAATTCTGTGCTGTGCTGACATAAGCACCCTTCCAGGAAATGAGATGACAGCCATGTGTTAATATTCCCTTAGGCAAGTAGTGGAGTGGTGCAGTTCTGCATATGTTTACTCCATCGAGTGGAGGATAGGCAGTCCTATTATACTGAATGGATCCCCTTCTAAGGAAACGTGCCTTGGACTGCATGCTGTTGGAAACTAAGTTCTCGGGCAGCTGGAAATATGAACTATTGTTTTCCATTAGAAAAAATTCTGGGAGGTGCTCACGCACTGGGGAGGGGGTAAGCTACACCGGATTCTTGTGCAGTTGGAAACAATGCTTGGAATAAACTCTTCTGTCCAGGGTGGATGCGCTCACAGGATCCTGAGCGGGGTCTGCAGTGTTCAGAGGAAAATTCCACTATTCCCGAGAGGCGATTTCCACATCCAAGCCATGCGCTGCCTTTTTTCTGCTTTGGCAGCCGGGCCATTCAGCCTACCTACCATTCAGAAATCAAACTTGGTTACGAACATATTCTGCAGCCATTAAAAAAGCATCGGGGGGGGGGGGTGTCTCTTTTGGGTTTTTGTTTTTTGGCAGCAGCTTGGATAAATATCTAAGCACCGCAGCAGGAGGCAAAAGGACATAGTGTACCAGTCTGTCTTGTTCGTAACCTGGATTCACCTAAGCGAGGGGGCGGCGGCGGCGGCGGCGGCGAGCGAAGTTGGCCTTGTTTCCTTGGCGCGCAGACGGCTTGTCGCCCTAGCCGAGGAAGTGACGGCCCGCACCCAACTCTTCCTTCGGGGACTCGCAGCCTTCCGCCGGGGAGAAGTCCGCCTTCGCTGGCTCGCTTTGATGCAGGGACGGCTCGCTCCCCTCTGCTGAGCGGGCGGGCTGGTCTTGCATCCTTCGGCGATGAAGTAGCCACTTTGGGGGTGGGGGGACCGGTTCCTGCGCCTTTCGGCGCGCGAGGAAGTTTCCCCTCTGCCCGCGCCCGCGGGGGAGGGCTGCTCGGCTGGGATGCCCAGGAAAGCGACGCCCGTGCAATCTCGGCGAGCCGCGCTGCTAGTGGGAAAGCACAGGAAGACGGCAAGTTTCCCCCAGGCAGGCGCGCGCGCACCCACACGAGGAGGAGGAGGAGGAGGAGGAGGGAACTCTTTGCGAAACTCAGTAGCGGCCCTCCCATCCAGGTTAATCGGCTCTCTGCGCGTTAAAGGGGCCGTGAAGAGACTCTCCGGGTTTCGTTCCTTTTATCTCCTAAGGTGGCGCAAGGATGTGCTCCTTCCCCTTTAAGGCCGGAGTTTGGCTGTGTGTGCGAGGAGCGAGCGAGCGAGCGAGAGTGGAAGCGTGTGCGCCCGTATATATGTCTGTGCGCGCGCACGCGCGCGCGCGCGCGTGTGTCTCCTCCTCTCCGAGTGACACAGCAGTTAGATATGCCCTATCAGTAACTTAAAGCCCGCAAACTCCACCTTCCGAGCGAGGAAACTGTGGGCTGGAGAAAATGTAGTGCGCGAATTGAGACAGACAGTGAATCATTAGCAAACTGCAACGCCAGGATGAACTTGTCGGGAACCTAAAAGGAGGGCAGGGCGGCGGGGAGAGAACACCGGGCTCCGGAGCTCGCCCGGGGCTCGCGGGCCGCCGCGTTTTGTCCAAGACCGTCAAACTGGATGTAAAAAGCTGGTGCGTCGCCAGTCCAAGATGCTTCTGGTTTCCGCGCGGGTAGAAGCACCACGCATGGAGCCTCATATTCCGGTAAGTCGCGAAGTCCGCCGGAGGGGGAAAAGTGCCGGGCTCGCCAGAGCGGGCAGGGGGCGGCTCGGCGCGGGCTTCCCCGGGAGCCTGGCCGCGGGATGAAGTTGCTGGATGGGATGGGCTGCCCCTCGTCCCCGCGGTCCGCTCTGGGCTGAGTTTGACGGTGCAGCTGAGCGCAGCCGGGGCTGAGCGGGGCGGGGGGCGCCTCATGTGGACGGCGGGGACTTCCAGCCGCTGCGCGCCCGGGGTGCCTCCCTGTTGTTCGCCGCGGGAGCCTCGTGTGCGGTGCTGGAGGGGTCAGCCTCCTGCTCCCGGGCTGCCCCGCTCGCTCGCTCGCTCGCTCGTTCTTTCTCTGGCGTGTGTGCTTAAAATGGTGGTAGACGGAGGTGAGATCTTGCCGTCGTGCGGCTGCTTCTTAGCGAGGGAGGGAGGGAGGAAGAAAGGAGCTGGGGCGGGGGGGGGTAGGACAGGCTGGCGTGCTTGTGGGAGAAGATCGGTTTTAAGGCAGGCAGACAAAGTGCTGCCCCTTCTCTGTGTGTCTGGCTGGGAAGCAGCTGCCGCTGCAGGGGGAGGACGGGGGAGATGCGCGCACGCGCCCAGGTTTCGTTCTCCCGGCTGCCTGCTCGTCCGCCACAATCCCGGAATAGTTTTGTTCCTTGGACAAACACAGTGCTCGACCTACACATCGATTCCGCCCTCCCAGCCCCCCCCCCCCCCCCCCCCCCCCTTCTTGACGCCCAGCTTGCAAATGGAGGCAAACTCTCTCCCCGCCCCCCGCCCCGCGATGCTCCTTGGAAAAAATTGGCGGAGACGCGTCCGGAACGGTACTTTTGCTGTAACGATGGAGGATTGAAACACGTAACTAGGATTCTCGTTTCGGAGTGATAAATGCGTGTCGGAATCAAGACGGGGAAGGAAGGCGCAGTTGCCTGATTTTTTTTTTTTGTTTAATATCCTAGATTAAATGCTGACTGCACTGAAGATTTAATAGGATTAGAAAGTGCCCAATGCTCTGTGTCCTAGAAGCATTTGTGGTATCCCTCTGTAAACAGAACCATTCAGGAAGGTTTGTTTTAGCCTAATTACTGGGAGGGGGGTGGTCTTTAAATTTAGATCAGGCAGGCAAGCATGAAAAAGAGGGAGGGGAGGCTCTTGTAGAGCAATGCTGAAGAAACACCTGATGATGGGTGCCTAGGAAGGGGGGGTGTCCTCCCCTTAAAGGAAATGTGGACAAAGTTCTCCCCCGCCCCGAAAGTGAGGGGGAGCAGCATGCTCAGAAATATGGATTGCTTCTCCCGCTCCTGCTTTTGTCAAAATTCGTTCTGAAAGCCACCTTGGGACAGGGACCTCCCCTCCCGCCTCTACTCGCCAAACTGTAATGCGCCTTAATGGAATTGTATTAATAATAGATGGCCTGATGAGCACTAGCTTGACAAAGCGCGCTCGCTCGCTCGCTCTCTCTCTCTCTCTCTGGGGGGGGGGGACTGCCGTAAAATGTATCCCACCCAAAGAAACCTCCCGGCCAAGCCCAGAGTTGTGTGTGACCGCAAAGCTCGCGCCCAGCTTTCCCGACCCGACTTAGTCCGAACTCTGGCAGTCAGTCAGTCTCTTTCTCTCTCTCCCTCCCTCCCGCTCGCCTTGTCGTGCGTTCTGCCTTGCTGGGCTTCCTTCTTCTCCTTTTTTAAATCCGCCAGTGCTGACTCACGACTTTAAAAAAAAGGTATTTTGATTTCTCACCCTGTGATTAAGAGGCGAGGTGGAAGGAGCCTCTTTACCGGGTAAACAAGCGGCTGGTTGTTGACTGGGCTTTTCCAGCTGTCTCCCTTGGTTAACCCAGGGAGGAGGAGGAGGCGGCTGCCGCTCTGCTGGCCTGATTAACGACGAGGAGCTCTCTGCCCCCACTGCTGCCCTCGGGCCCCGCTCTAAATTTGCTCGCCACCCTGCTCGCTGGGACGTCCCCTCCCCGCGCGGACCCGTGGAGCGCAGGCGGCGCTCCTCGGCGGCCTTCGGCTGCGCTTGGGGCTTCTGGTCCCCGGCTGTACTACAGCAGTGCTTTTGTTATGGGTGTACTGAAGGGAGGGGGTGGAAGGCTGCGTGCGTGCGTGTGTGTGTGTGCGTGCGTGTGCGCTTGAGGGTGGTGGTTCTGTAACCAGGGTGATTAAGGTGGGGGGAGAAGGAAGGGTGCTCCCCCTGGAAGAAAGCAGCTAGTGCTTTCTTTTCAGCGCACTCCTTCCTGGAATAATAAATTTAAAAGCTGCTTTCTCTCTCTCATTCTCCTCCCAGCAGGCTGAAGCTGGGAAGAGGGGAGGGGAGGGGGCACAGGGTCTGCAAAAGATCCTGGCGTTTGTAACAGGAGATTAATAGGTTGCAGGGGAGTCTCTGTTGCCATTTAGCCTGATCAGCTCCTTGTCTCCCCTTCGCGATTTACAAAACCGTGGAGGGGGAAGGCTACGTTTCCCACCCACCCCCATTCCTCTTCTCTTCTTCAGCAGTGGAAAAATAAGGGGAGAGTCTTTCTGGGTCTACAGGGATGCTACCCTCTCTGCTTTCCCGAGAGAGGAGAGGCACAACCGCTGCCGGGAAGCACCGTATGTTTTGGTGTTCCTTGTGTCTAAAGTCTACAAGGGTGGAGAGGAATAGATGCCCCAGGATGCTGCTTCCTGCTGCTGTGTCTGCAGGATCTGCAGCGAGCTTAGGCCGGGGTGGTCAAGTGCGGGGCTTGTTTGCATACCTGCCCTTTGGAAGCCCCTGTTTCTGCTCTCCTCCTTTTGGTGGTACCCAAGCAGTGCTGGATGTACAAAATGAAGAGCGTTGACCATGCCATGATCTGATGCAGCAGCAACATGTATGGTGCTGTTCACAGGTGATGTCTGTTACAGGTGAACAGCACAAAGAACAATTGAGATGGGGACAGGAGGGGAAGGCAAGGACAACCAAAGCTGTGTTCTGGACCTCCACCTACCTGTCATAGAATAGTAGAGGTGGAAGGGAGCAAGAGGGGTCGCTTAGCACAAGACTCCAGATTAAACCATCCCTCTCAGATGGCTTGCCAGTTGCGCCTTGAATGCCTCCAGTGTGGGAGAGCTCCCTAAGTCATAGGTTCCATTGTCATACTACTTGAACAGCCAGGAAGTTCTTCCTGATGTTCAGCCAGAATCTGGCTGCCTGTGACTTGAGCCTGTCATTCCATGTCCTGCACTCTGGGATGATCAGAAGCGATCCTGGCCTTCCTCTTTGGGGCAGCCTTTCACTTACTCGTAGAGTGCTAGACTGGACTACAAGTCCATAAGCCCTAGCCATTGTGGCTGGTGTTCCTGGTAAGAGGGGCTCTCGTCCCAAACATCTCAGAGGATCCAGGTTGGGGCAGGCTTTCCTGAGGATCCACAGCACTGAGAAGGAAAAAAAGACCTTGCAACTGTTGTAGACAAAAGGCTAAGCACAAGCCAGCAATGTGATGCAGCCACAAAGAAGGCAAACACTATTTTTGGATGCCTTAAGAGAGGTTCTCCCTTCTCAGAAAAAGATAAGTATTCATTCGCTCTACTTTGCGCTAGTCAGACCTCACCTGGAATACAGCATTCAGTTTTGGGCACTCAGGTTTAAAAAGGATGCTGAGAATCTGGAGAGAGTTCTGAGGAGGGCAGCAAAAATTATACAGGGCCTGGAAACTAAGTATTATGAAAAGAGGCTGAAAGAATTTGGGCCTCTCTGGCCTTGAGAAAAGAAGACTACAAAGTGGCATGGTCTCACTGTACAGGTACCTCAAAGGCTGTCACAAAGCAGGAGGAAAAGACCTCTCACTCATCCCAGAGTTTAGGACATGGAACAATGAACTTGTACTGTAGTACCCCAGGCACAGCCTGGGCACAAGGAAGACCTTCAGTGGGACCAGCTGCCTGGAGAGGTGGTGGGCTCTCTCACTGGAGGCATTCGAAAAGAAACTGGGCAGCCATCTGAGGGGGATGGTGTAGGGTGGTGTCCTCGGCCCCTTCCAGCCCTTCTGTTCTCTGATTCGAAGGCTTCAAGCTCTGCTGTGGAGCAGTGGATTGTACTTATACCCTGGGAATCAAGGTCATTCTGCATTTGACCAGGGGATACTGACTGCTGTGTTGCTACTTCACACACCCAGGGCAAACCCTGAGGTTTACATGGGTTCCAGCTTTGTTTGCCCAAATTAACCAAGGGATGGAAACTTTGGTAGATCATCCTCCCATCCCATGTGAGAACATAAGTCAACCCATGCTGGATCAGACCAAACGCCCATCCAGTTCCACACTCTGGATTAGAATCATCCTTGTGAACCTGTCTGAGCCTCTTTTAAAGCCATCCAAATGGATGGCTATCACCACTTCTTGTGTCAGGGAATCCTATGGTTTAACTTTGTACTGTGTGAAGAAATGTTTCCTTTTCTCTGTCCTAAACCTTCCGATCAATTTCATTGAAGGAACCCGGGGTTCAAGTGTTATGAGAGAGGTAGAAAAGTTTCTCTACTTTCTCCACACTATACATTATTTTAAACCCCTCTATCATTTTTCCCCTTTCTTGACTCATTTCTAAGCTGAACAACCCCTGTTCTCATACCTGCTTAATACAGGCTTAAGGTTGTAATGGCCCCTCCTTCCCAAGGTTCTGGAAACAGCTGCTGTTGTCTTTTCTTTGCTGACAGTAATGGGGTGTGATGTACATTACTGTGAGCTATGGACGTTGGGCTGCAGAATACACTCAGCCCAAAACTAGCCTAAAACTGCTGAACACAAGCTGTTGGGCAAAACTCCACCCTGGCTTGCACTCACACAAGACTAAAAAACCCCTTGCCTTCATTGTACTCAATACAGTCTCCAACCAAAACACCCACTATCAAAAACATAGAAACAGAGCGAGTCAGAAGGGGTCTCCTGGGCCATCTAGTCTGACCCCCGGCTCCAGCTGGCTCTGCTCCCGACATGCCCACCATGTGCATGTCCAGCCTAAAAATATTACATTTATTTACTGAATTTAGT